AACAATTCATGAAAGTTGTCCATGCAGAATGATCCATAGAAGATAATTGAAAAGTGACGTTTGAACTATTGGTTGGACAGACGTATGTGGACACGATTTGACCTTAAACATGGTTACTCAAACTTTAAGAACGCTATGAGCAGATGAAGATCATAATACCTATGACATGCCGTAGCACAACGATCAAAGACAATAGTAATAACAATCGCATTGCCTAGACGTGATCGACACACAGTGGTGTATAGTAGTCGATTCAATGCTTCGTTTTTTGCACAACAGCAAGACTTCTATTGATACAATCGGAAAAAAGGAATGAATTTATTGCATTATGTGTGCTTCTTGAAATATAACGTTCTTTCACTGTGAACAGAATTGAAATGAAGCAACGCAAAAAACAACTCACATGTCTATTACCGACCACTAATCAGCATATAATGCAGTCATTCATAGAATAAATTTTTCTCGTTAGAACAGCATACTCCCGTGTAAAAAAAAAACAGCCAAAAAATCATATTTTAATCGATTTTTTCTCCGATTAGAAATCAGTTTCAATGGAACGATTTTCGTCTGATTAAAATCGGACTCTTTTATTAAAAAGTCAAAAAATCTCTTTTAACTACATGAAAATCATGTAAAATTAAAAAGAAGTGATTTTCACTGAGTGAAAATCGTGCTATTTAACTCGGTTTATAGTCGGACAAAAAATCGAGTAATATCATATACAATCAGAAAACCATATTCATGATGTGGATATTCATTTCATCTATGTCCATAGATCCACACCCTCATCTTCCATGCTTAAGATCTCATACTTGTAGTAGTTATAATATCCTTTATGTTTTTCTGCGATGATGCAATCGCTACAGATAATATTATGTCATGGTTTTCTAACATACATATGTGCACATAGAAGTCGTCATCATATAGTAAGACACATTTGAAGTCATTTTCAGTCCGAATTTTTTAGAAATGAGTAAACCGACGACTACGAAGGCGGATTACCATGAAGAGGAACATTTCACATCCGTGCAGATCTTTGATGCTTTCAATGCTCATATATAGCGAGCAGTTGCATATTCGTTCCTTATGCGTGCACATTTTATGCAGATACAGGCTGTGATGTTCATGTCTACATGTGTATCTATTTCTCTTGATCTCTCGTAATTGACTAATTATTATGCCTTACATTCAATATGCAAATATGTCAACGGCAGAACAAGATCTTACGGTCAACAGGGTTGATTTCCAAGACGGAAATGGCGAAATCAAACAGAGACAACACCCTCAACCCACTTCCGATCAATATACGACATATTCGTTAGTTCTTTTATTCTTTCTCTCTTCTTTCGGTAATATAGAGGCAGCAACAAATCGTCAAGATGAGTCATCTAAAGTTGACGTATTTGCTTATATTTGATGTGTGCCACACGTCAGTAAGAAGAATAACAAGAATTGACGATGGCGATACCAATTACCAAGTTTCGCAATTTCTCATCAGAACTTGTTCTTTACATCTTCGATTTTCTTTTAGTAAGAGATGGAACTTCACATTAAAGCTCGTTAAAAATTCGAAAATAGAAAAAAATCTTTAAAGCACAAAATTCGATGAATTTTAATACTTACAGAAGTAAAATAGGATGTGTGAGAGACTTAGGATTAATAAAAGTAACCATCTGGATCCTATGGTTCTACTGGCTGAACATGATGGGTATGTAGCACAAACTAAACATGTCCTAATTCGACCTTCACCTCTATCGTTCTTTCATTCAGACTAGTCCAGACAACAACTGCTAATAGGGTGTGGATGTGGGTCTGAGTCTCGCCTTCACCGACGCCCACGTGCATGCACACAATCATACTCACACATCAAAATCCATATCTCACATGCACTGAGCTTTTTTGGGCTGTTTGTAAATATGATATTTGTTTGAAATCGAACGCGTATTATTTATTTCGAACATCATCCGATATTCACCAGAAAAAGCGAAAATTGGCGCTTAAAAATAGTAGTTAGAGGAAAAGCGCTTTACTAGATGCATCCGTATAAACGATAGCTTCTTATGAGGAAAATAATCATTATTTGTAGCAATTTGGCCCAATCGAGGTGATGTTCGGCATTTATCAATGGGAAAAGTTTTATATATCTAAAAAGTTCTTATAGATTCTAATAGAGGAAAAAAATTCTACATTGAATGAGCCTATTTTTAATGAATCTAATTTGAATTTTCATCGATCTTCACGTCAAAAAGGGGTTTTTGAGGCTTTCAAAAAAATGCTTCAGATCTTACTTATTATCTGACTAATTTAAAATAAAACAAAAGTGATATTTGTAATTAACACACTCAGTTTTATCACAATATAAAGACTTCTAATAGACTAACGATAAAAAATTTTTCGACAACCAAGGAGTATCCTAGAGGTATAAAAAATTGAGTGGTGATAATATATAAAATCAACTTGTGAAAAACAATTAGGGTACAATGCTAATTATCGGGCTAATAAGATTGGGATCAAATTTTTCAGGACGCTAGATTCATAATTTGATACGTGTTCCTTACTCGAAATCGAGAAAATATAATATCAAATTCAATCTTCGGTTTGTTACATTTTAAACAATGTCCGTCAAACGAAAATGTTCATATATATATATGAAAACATTTGTTGATCACATTCAGACGACGTATAATGAACTGCTCGAACAAAAGTATGTAGCTATTTAACAATTTTGTCTGTTTCATTGTTCTCTTGTATACAAGATATTGTTGAATTGCTCAGCTTATCTGATGAAATAATCTTATTTATTATGAATAAAATCAAACCTCAAGTACTATTACTTTCTTCTATTATTACTATTGGAAATAATCATTTGAAACAACTTGCACGTGACAAATCTATTCGATTAATTTAACTTTTGATTATATTGATTCACCTTATGAACTACTTATTAAACGTTTCTTTTTCTCAGATTTTATGTCTTATAGTTTTAATTTCATTCAATCATTTACAATCAATCTTAGACATTTTCCATTACTTAATTACATTGCTAAAGTAATTGATAATGAAAATCTGTTGAATTTTAAATATTTGAGAAGAATGACAGATCATCTCTATGCTAATACAGGAACACATCGTACAATGAGTAACTTATACTCAATTATTATTTTCCAAGTTAACTTACATAGGGTGTTCAAAAAGTTCTGATAACTAGTAACATCCATTCAATAAGAAATATATTTTATTTATTTGTCTACCGGAAATGTTAGAAGACATCATAACAATGTTCGATAGCAAGCTCGATTTACTTTTGAATAATCTTTTCATATTCATTGATATGTGTCAAACTGATTGCTTAATTATTGCTTAGTTAAATGTATTGCATCTAGATAGATATTTTATCTATATTTTAAAATAATTGAATAAGAGAAGTTCAAACGAAGCAAGACCAGCTGAATGTGTTTGATAGACTATATCTTTATATTCTCTCTTCTTTGAGAAATTAAATAACAACATTTTTTTATATATGGTTTGCAATACCATGATGGATTTGATACCATTGATGTCTTATGATAGTCTTTTTTGAAAAGTTTCTTAATAATGCTTTTTGAACATTATTGCAATCATTAGATAGTATTAACAGATCGTATAGAATGCATCTGATGAATAAGTAATGCTCATGTTATCGTAAAGAAAATGGCAAACATTGTTTCTTTATATGTTATCATCTTCTTACGACAAGTAAAATGTGTTCCCCTTTTACAGACTAGGATTTCTCTCTTGCATCTACCTAATACTGCAATACTTAATCTGTCTTACGACGCCTGCCATTATATCACATCATCGCAGTGTTCGTTTCATCAAATCCACGAAATTTTCGGTACTGAACCGATGAGTATAACCCAGTAATAACCAAGCCATTAGTTTGACACATATCAATGAATATAAAAAGATTATTCAAAAGTAAATTGAACTTGCTATCGAACATTATTATGATGTCCTCTAACCTTTACTGTAGACAAATAAATATAATGTACTTCTTATTGAATGGATATTACTAGTTCTCAGAACTTTTTGAACACCCTATCTATTTACTGGCATAAAAATCAAAATTTGAAATCATTTTCAAATGCTTCAAACATAGAAACTGAAATTGAGTCGTTTATTATGGGGCATTTGTTATTGTTTTCCCTTCGAAGAAAAATTTTACAATGTTCCAAAAGAATCTTCAATTGATTTTTATGCTAACGGAAATTTTTCATTTTAGCAACAGATTTTACGCCTCTGACCGACACCCGCACCCTAGTGAAGCAAAATTTTTCCATCCTATCTTCAGAGTAACAAGATCGTAATTAATTTATGTTAGTAATAATTAGTACTTTTCGTAATCTAAGTTTACTCTTCAATTACCTTCACATTCACGATTCATATTTGTCCAATAGATTCAGGATCCACCCTAATTGTGTTTCTTATGCTTAACTTTCATCGATCATTTTCAGAAGCCGAACATGCGAAAACTTTGAATATTATCTCATTTGATGACGCATCAAAATGGAACATTTACTTGCTACTGAAAAAAACTTATTGAAAAAAAAGAGTGATTGAAATGGAAAAGATTCTTCAAAACTCGTAATTATTCATCAAGTGGCGACACCTGATATCAGAAAATATAATGGATCATTCGTTTATCGGTTCAGAGTCTGATAAATTTTAATTATGTAAGAAAAATGGTCAAGAAAAAAAAGGAAAATTTTTTTATATTAAAAATGTCCTGAATATCTATTTTCTAGTTGGACTAATGAGCTTACTCGAATGATGTCAACAATGTGCTACCATTCAATCGTTCTTGCGGTGACGATTCTTTTCTTCATTTCACACTTGATGCCCTCATATCAGCAAGTTTAACTTTCTCTCATTCTTATTCTGTACACTTTTTTTAACGAAAATATAATCTAATCTTCTTTCTATTTTAGATAAAGACTTTGTTATTCATTTGTTCAAAAACTATGTCTCATTCGAATGTTACTCAAGGAATGTCGAATGTCGATACAAATGCCGAGGGCAAACCGTATCATGGTACTGGTTGATTTATTCGAATCGAGAAAAAGAAAACATTTCTTTTTTGTCTATTATTTAAATTTAGAAAATGTGGATAAGAAGGCCCAAAAGGAAGATCATCCACGTACACAATCCGAGAAACACGATGCTCATTCATCGGATGACAAAGATTTTGCTCCACATCATGGTCATGATAATCAGGTACAATCATTTCTTTTCAAATTATCCGTTTAATTGTTTTTTGTTTGTCTTTTCTAGTATAAAAAGGTGCGTAAAAAAAGAAACACTACAATGTAATTCTATGAGTAGATTATGTTTTCTTTTCTTCATCTTTTTTAGGATATCAAAGGTAGTGCAGGTAGTGGCACGAGTGAACGTGGTGATCATAAGAAGTAAGAAATAGTCTTTGAGAATTGTTTGATTATTGTTTTGTTTTCATTCAGAGATCATGATTGAATACACAAGAGTATAATCTACAATTTAATCAAGCACGTAATGATTTCGTTTCTTGTGGTGGTTTTTTCTTTTATTTCAATAAAAAGAAGTATAAAATTTTGAAAAAGACAAGAATATTTCTATCTCGATTGGATAAATGATGTTTCAATAGATGATAATTGATTCTAGATGTTGCATAGATCTGCTATTCATATAAAAAAAACGAATGGCTCTTGATTCGATACATTTGTGATAGTAGAAGAATTCAGGATTTGATTGAGAATGTCATTATAGGAATTATGAATTGTTTTTTTTTTTTTGGTTAAAAAAACTTGTCAATGCAGCCGTGATCTGGGCTCAAAACGTGGAACTCACATAAGAATGTAGCATCAACAAAGAAGAGCATAAATAGAAATGAGACAGTATCCACTCTATGCATTCGAGAGAACTATTACGAAGAATATGTCACTGAGTCTAATTTTATGTGATTCATTATGGTCTTGATCTAATGGATATCGATTTCTCTTGCATTATTACATTTATCTGTTGGACTATATATTGTATCTATCAGGGTACGAGTGGTAGCCATCATTTCGTCGAAACCGACACTCATACCACTCTCACATTCACATCACATTCGTTATTCCGCTAGTCGTCTCTCAAAGTGCCAACATTTTTAAAATCGTCCAAAAGTTTAAATTTTTACCAACAAATTTCAACTTTAAAATCTTTGCAAATGTTTTTTTTAAAATTTTTCATCCTCTTTCAAATGAAATATCATTCAAAAAAAAAAAGAACAAAATATGTAGATTTTATAAGCAAAATATTAGTTTTGCTGAATTTTTGAAAATTTTTGATCGTAGCTGTAAAGAAAAAATTGATTATCTCAAGAACCATAATACATCCGATGCTACAAAAAAAACTGCTATACGCAGCTTTGTGCGAAGAATGGAACAGGAGTAGTTTGAAAAAAAAAATAATTTCACTTGGTTATCGTATTTCTCGATGGCTTCAAAAAGTCTTTCTTAAAAATTGCAAGTATTAGAATTTGTTCCATCAAAATGAATACGTTGAATACAAAAGGTAAGTAGTGATAATGAATAAAAAATCAATGGAAAATAATATTGCATGACATTTATTAAAAAAAGAATCTGGTTCAATAATAACAAGATTATTATGTAATTGATTATCAGTTCTTGAAAGAATAGAACGTATCAGAACATCGAAATATTTATTGAATGACCACAAAGATGTTAATAATTCTAACCATGATAAGTTAAAAAATACAATAAGAAAAATTTAATTTGAAAATGTTGTTTCAAATCTTGTAATCATATTATTCTAAAAAAGGATGAATAAAATCGATGTATTATATTTTACTAGTGAATATAAGTCAACAATTTAATCAATTAATACTTGATTGTTTTTATATTTATAATCTGAATTTCACAAGAAAATCATTATTTGATGATATTTCTTTAATTAATAATCAAACTCTCGATCGAATTTTGTAAAAAAAGTCTTACTACGAATTAATGATAATGTGAATAAACTTATCTTTGAATCACTTTATATAGAACGTATTCTTCATGTTGTTAATTATGGTCAACTTCACTCGTTGTTACTTGTGAATTTTTCACAAGAAATAATATTGCAACATTTAATAAGTATAATTTTTAAATTAATAAAATGATTTTTATTTATGTATTTAAGGTGATACAATTCTTCGTCGTCTTATTACTGATCAAATTACATCTCTTAATATTCTGATGGATGATAAAATAACATCAGATTCTTCTGTGAAAAATGAATTCAATATGATTTGACCTTCAATCAATGGTTCAGTCATCGAGGTCGAATAAACTCAATTTATAATCTACTTATCATCAACAATTTATCTATCTTCGACTTTAACTAAATTGAACATATTTGTAAATACTTTCGATGATTGTCTTTGACTTCTTGATGGACGTTTCGAAACTTTGTCCATATTGATAATTAATATATTTAAAATTTTCTATGCATCATCAGATATAGATAATACAGGAAGTAAAATTAATTGGCGTATTTGAACAAAAAAGCTTCTTAAAATGAAAGGTTTCTCATGAAAACCGTATTGTCATACATATTACTATGACAGTCGAATTGTTTCATTATGTTGTTGAATATCAAATCTTATTGATAATAAGAATCGAATCAACTTATATCGATGGTATTCATCTAAACAATGAGATTCTTATTCATATACCACGGTTAAACAAACTTATATTCAGTATAACGACTATTATTTATCGTATCAATGTTAAAATTGATTTTCCACCAGCTAACAAGGTTCAACGTAGTTTAATCAAAAGAAAAAAGTATCAAGTTGACTCTTATGTTATTAAGGACTCATTTAGGGCAAAAAAAAAATAAATGTCATATCTATCCAATTCCATGTCCATTCGATAGTTTTCTTCATTTGGGTGTGACTGTGTAAGATTTACAATTATTTGACGCCTACACCTCACACTCTTAGTTGGATGTGGGTGTGGCTATGCGTGTCGATTTCCAGTTGAACCAAACCCGTACCCACGCCCACACCCTCATTTGTGAATATAAAAGAAATGGTTGGTAAGGTTTTTGTTTATTCTTTATAAATTCCATTCCCATGTATTCACGAAATGACCACTATTCTAGTGGATATGTCAAGCGATTGTGTACGAATACGTATGCCAGATAGAAGCAAAAGAGGGATGTGGTCGCTGTAGTGAAACAAGACACGTGCATAACTCATCATGAAAACAGAAATAACAAAAAAATAATTATCGATAGATAGGACTACTTCGACATGAAAAGCTAATCAATCATGCAAGTGTAGGCTTTTTCCCTGTCATTATTGTCATGACTTTAATAGTCAATAAATCATATCCGATTAAAAGAACAAACCGGTGACTAATACAAGTGTCTCTTTTCATTGCCTCCAAAGTATGAGAATGTTTGATAAATGTAGTAATTTCTAAGTGACGTAAATATCCTTCAAAATTTAAACAAATATTTATCAACGATATTAATCATACTTAAGCCTCATATAGAGAAATGATTGCATTGAGTCATAATATAGAGTATGTCTAATTTTGTGATTAATAGTCCTGATCAATGATGTTGAAAAAAGAAAGATTTCATTAGCCCAGAAATCGACATTGATAGACGTACGTATATATATATATATGTATACAAACAGATTGAGACTACACTTGCATTATTTATCATCTTTTCTTATCTTATACAATATGTATTTCTATTATCCTTATACAGATATTACCTTCCCAATGGCGGTACCGATTATACCACTACAGCCAATATTGATTATTAGAGTTCGTTAGTGTACCAAACTGTGAGTTCAGTACTATACTGATCTGACTCAATCAATAGTGAGCTCAGTGTGTCATATTTATTTAGTCAAGATGAACAATTTACTAACAATTATTTATTCAAGTTAACTTATTATATCATGTGTACTATTACTTATCTTATTACTCATCATTATTATTTTTACTAATCCTTGTTTGTAAAATTTTCAACGGAGAAATGTCTTCTTGGGTTTCAATATATTGTGTAATGGATGATCAATATATTGATTCCAAAATTTGTGTACATTTGTAACATATTGTATATGAAATTTGTAAAAAATAAAAGTAATATAATGGATATGTATTAGTTTTTTGATTGATTTTATCATATCTATTTTTATTTTGGCTCCTCATTGACGAAGACAAAGTTTATTGAATGACGTTTTACATAGAAACAAAATCTAAATTCGTCAGACTTTAGACTCATTCTTAATTTGTTGTTTATTCCTAGTTCTACAAATAAGAAGTTCTGCAGATTCAATCACTTCACACATTTCTTCATGAAAGATTTTTGACTTGAAAATTGCTCGAAAACATTTGTCAACTGAATAATTCGAAGTAATGCATTGACTGATTTTATGATTCGGTTGTGTTTTATAATACTATTATTGATTGAGAGATTTATTGAATGTCAAACATTCATCATTTTTATGAATTTCTTACAAGTTGAAATGTTGGTTCAAACTCGATCTTCTAGAGTCATTAACCATTTTGCTTCATCTGATAATGAAATTCAATATTAAAACTTCAACCTTTCATTCACTTTACGAAAATGGTAGGCATTTAGAAGATGACATCATTTTCATGTGAAGTACAGATTTGATTGTCATAGAGACTAGCGTCAAATATTATAGCAATAAAGAAAATGTAAATAGTATAGTGCTAGTTTTATGAAAAAATTATTTCCTTTCCGTTCCATGTGATAGATCATCATTATTGTCTTTAAAAATGTAACTAAATGTTTCTTTTCTTATCAATCAATGAGTATAAATAAGACTGTATTTCATTAGGTGTGTCAATTACTTTTATTTTTCGACTTGAATAGATAGAAATGCTACATGAGCAGAGTTGATTGACCAGAATCTTCTAATAAAATATAGCTGTAGATAATGGTCAATTCTTCTGTTAACAAAATCTATTTCCCATATAAAAAATGAAGAGATGTTTGATTATGGCTGTTTTTTTAATTAAAATCTCATTCCATGAAACTATTTCAAATAAAATCAGACATTCACAACGATGCTCGGCTCACAATGACTTATTACAAATGACAAGCTAAAAACATTTTCAACAACAGAAGAAAAACCGACCAATTATCCTTTTTCTCTTTTCAATAGATGGAAAAGGCATATCTTTTCTTTTTGTCTTGATCTACCAAAGATTTACTGACATAGCTATAATATTACAACGTTCATCATAGATCGAATGATATCGAATGCGATTGAAATCGATTAGCATCTCTGACAAAATTTACTTATAGGTATTTAGATCAAAAATAGCTTTGGGTATTTCCATGAAGCCTTGCCAACCTAGTTCGGTGATCACGTTTGAATCAATGAATATTTGAGAAATTGTAGATCTTTATGTGTTGATCATCTCAGTAGGAATTTACTCTATGTTGCACTCTGT